CTCACCGTCACCACCTCGGTAATTTGGACACCCAAATCATCAGCGATAGTATACCCCTGTCGTTGTTGCATCATTGCAACGGTGGAAAAACACATCTAAAGCTTATTCAACATTTTAGGCCCGTACGTTAGGTCCACTGGTAGCCCCTAAATATGGAATTACTAGGGCCTTCGTATTCCTACAGTAGTCCCTCGTGGTACCTATTACTAGTGGGGAATTGACCCACCCCATACGCCTAAACCCTAAACACCTAAACCCTGTTAGGTTCTTCTATCAGCCAAGCTTGAGTGTGTTGAGCAGCGACCAGGCCTTTGCCAATGTCGACCGAGACGAGGTGGCACATGTAAGGATTTGAGGTTTTTCCAAACCTAGGGGTACCTGTTTGGGGGGTCCCTATAATAAGGGCCTATAGTATTTGGGGGTTTATGTTGGGCTCCCGCTAGCTAGGGAAACTGCCGTTTGGAGATTCAGGGTGTAGGGTTTATGGCCAAAGCCCTTCCCCCCAGGGTTGAGGTAGCCAGGCTTCAGGTGCCCACAACATGTTCTGACTATGAGACTTGGAGCTTACAACGCCAATATTCGGATGTTTGGACTAAGGGGGTCTTAATTTCTAAAGACTCCCACGCCCAATATGCCATACTCCTTGAAGGAACTCACATGTACTGGGGGGACACATGTAATAGTAGGGGTCGGGATATATGAGCTGGAGTCTAACCTCCTTAAAGGGGGTTATATGGGGGATTATAGGGTACCATTACTGTTATAGGGCTTTTTCAGGGGGATACTAAGAGTTCAGACCATAGCTCATATAGTAGTAGGGAGTAGTGGCTGACCATGATCTGCTGGCCGTATAAGGCTGACAGCTGCTTCGTGCTTGGCATGGGAGATTGCTGGCGGCTTACTGTGGGCCATTTGGCCTACAACTTAGGACTTCCATAGGTACACGGATCCACACCAATACCCTCCCAGTAACCTTGCGTGGGGATAGCTTATGCATGGGGGTATGTACTAGGTAAATCATGGGGGCCTCAGGATTCAGGGAGCATACCCGAGGAGCATACCTGAGGCTTTTAACCTTATACAAAATGTAGGCAAAGAGTTTTGCATGTCAACCGCACGCTAGATTGAAAGGGTCTAACCCTAAACCCTAAACCCTAAGTATTTTTTAAGGTGGTCAGGGCGCCAAATGCTGGCAAGGCAAAAAAAGCAGCAGGAATCCTGGGCGGCCATGCAGATCTCGCTCCCAAGCAGCGATGACTTCTAGGAGAACGACGGTTTAGGGTTTAGGGTTTAGGGTTTTTCGTCTCTGACAAGACGCGCCAGGCAGTCGAGAATTATCAGGAGCTTTGCGAAAACTGCATCCTCATAGAGCTAGACCTCTAGGCGGATGCCTATCACCGGCAGCTTCTCAAGAAGCCTGGTTACGACACGTCTTGTTAGCTAGAATTTAAACCAATCCCAGGGGATCCGAGTTCACAAATAATGCATACATTGGAATGTCTGTTTCTGCGGGCAACGTTGCTATGTATGCTTCTGGGGGCAACGTTCTCGGAAAGGCCGAGATTGCTCTTGTAATGCCTGCATATTTTGTGCACTTTCGCGGAGGTGCATGGGATCATATTTAGACGGTACGATTGAGGCATGCAAACGCATTGTTGCCTGTTGCTCACAGTTCAGGCGTGCTTCGTTAAGCCCCAAGGATATAGGCAGCTTGAGAGGTTTCCCAGGTTGAGTTGCATGTGAGCAGCCCTGGATCTGTAAAGAATTTGAAAGTGAAGATGCCGAGTTGCAGGCATTACCACGCAAACAGACATGTACACCCATAGAATGCATTGGCGTAGCAATGCATGCTATGGAAAATAACCTATAGAATGTTCCTCTTTGCGTAGCAATGCAGTGGAAAGTGCTCTGGCTTTGCTGTGCAGCCATGCGTCGGGCTGCATTTTCCCGTCTGAGGCTTACAATGGAAGCTAAGTAAGGGCAATTTGGACTTAAGCCGATACCCCACTAAGGTCTATCTGCAGAATTGCCGGAACGTCGTTCGCGATCCCCAGCAAGAGATGGTCCTTTTCTGAATAGGTGGGGGGGCAGGGAAGGGGAGGAGGGGGGAGGGGAGGAGACATGGTGGGGAGGGTTTAAGTCCTCTATAAGACTCTATATCTTAAGCTCCCAGAGGCTAGACATGGACAGCCCGCTGGACCACGAGCTCGTTGATGAGGATCCGGCATGGTCGTGCCATGGTGCCCCCTTCAGCTTGCAAGCTGTGACATGCTCTGCGGGATCTTGCTCTGAGCGGTGCTTTGCGTGTGTGTCGAATTTTCAGCAAACATCTCGCAGCCGTCTTTGGGATCGTGTTGGTCCTTGCCCGCTAGTGGGCTGGTTTGCTGCAAGCTGCAGGCGCGATATCCCCGTGTGGTAGCAATTGCCTACAAGTCGTGTAGTCGCTCGGTCCTGTCAGGTGCGATACGATGGCGAAAGCTCAAGAGCGGCAGATTCAAGTCCTGATGATGGAGGCTTAATTAGGGTTCAGCTGCGGAAGTCTGACATGCCCAGAGCGAATTTGAAAAGCCTGATGAGGATTTTCTCGACAGCTTCCTCACCTCCTCTGCCGATCGCCTCCCTTCGATCCGGAAACACAAGGTTGCCAGTGCACACATACACGAAACTAAGACGAATAGCACTCATTGCGAACAGGCGAAGTCGATCCTGAGTGTGGTTCCTCAGGGGGCAGACTCAGTGGAAATGGTGGCTGGGCAAAGATTTAAATCAAGCCGCATAGCATGCTAATTAATGTTTACTTGCAGGTGCATGCGTCCTAAGTGAATCGCATTCTGCCTTGCTTGGTCAGATGGAAATCCACTACGAGTTCTACGCGCAGTATTATGCCACCTTTGGTATTTCGATACCACCTTTATCGGTGCACCAGGCAGACTACTAGACCTAGCTAGCTCAGTAGAGCAGACAAAAGACATGGCAGAAAACTGGCATCATTTATTTGATTGGCAGTGCCTGCAGGAAGTTCTTGTATTCTTGAACAAGAAGTACAACATCCTCGGTGAGTGTGCGAAGGTGAAGCATATGAAGGCATGGGAGTAAACATGGATGCACATTAGTCCTTTTGTGGGAGGTGTAGCAGTTATGTAATGTGCTTGCTTACATGCCCGCCGTTTGTGAAGGACTGGGCTCAGACAGAAGGTGGAGTGATGCGAGCTGCAGCAGTGCACGGGCTACAGCTGACAAAGAGATCGAAAGGAGCCAGGAAGCTTTGATGCAACAAGTTGTGGCAGTCTCCTCTGTGTGATTACTTTGTATGATCATGGATGTATATAAGGCGTGAGAAGATTCGACTGCTGAAAGTCATTATTCGGAATTCCACAGATGCAGGCTAGGTGGATGAACCTAGGCTGAGCGAAGAATGGAATATGCTGCTACAGATCTTGATGCAAGGGATTCTAGAATCAGGCAAGATGGTGATCATGTCTAGCATTGCAAGCTAGGCAGGATGAATGATGAACATGTGTGCAACAAACATGGCTTTGCAGGCGGTGATTTTGATGCTCAAATTTCGGCAGCCATTGACAGAGCTGCTGCAGAGGAAGATGAAGGTGCAGCAGCCCGGCAGGAATTGTCGAAACGCTTTGGTGTAGCAGAACGAGTACAGGTCATAAGATTTGAGGCGTATTTTTTGACCCGATCAGGAATCCAAGTCTATTATAGAGTTATAAAAATATATGAAGTAGAAGCTTACCTTGGGTCCGAAAATCTATAGTTATTTTGAGCTGTTTGGATCCCTAGTGGGCTAGGGTTTAAGGCTTACTATATAAAGGTGAGGGTTTAGGGGTATTAGGGTTTATAGGGTTTGTAAGGTTCATAGGGCTCCGCCACTTGCATGCCTCAAGGTTTAGGGTTCAGGGTTGGCAACCTGGAGTGATCCTCGATCCCTAATGTCATCATGTTTGGAATAGAACATGCAGCGTTGCCATTCGGTAGATAGCTACACACACTGTAGAATTTTACATGGCCTCTATTTAAACTGTAGGATTCTTGCAACCTGCAGGGTTATACCACCCTGTAGACGCCCGAGCCATGATAAGCCTTCGGGCCAGGGGGAATCACTATGCTTTAGTGGGCCTTCCCTGGATCGATTGCTGAGGCCTTTCCACGGAGCTTTTGTTCCACGCCCTCTCCGAGCAGCATCCCAGAGGTCGAGACAGTTCTCCCGGGATCCAAATAGCCAGATTAATTATAAGTAGATTGAAGTATGAATTATTAGTAGATCACTATGCAGGTAAAGCTATTTAGGTTTGGATCCCTAGGGATTGGAATTTGCCTAGCTAGGATCAGAGATTGATTGTTACCTTGCGGATGTTAAGCTTATGTGGCCATAACAATCACCCGGTGAGTGCAGCATCCATTAAATGAATGATCCTGCAGTGGTATATCCCTTTCAAGTCTTGCGGGGCTGTCGTCAGGAAGATGCATCCGAGATGGCAAGGATGGCAGCGCCTCCCGAAGCTAGCTCTTGCAATTGGGTTTCGGTGAGTGAGGGTGTGCTTCTCATGGAATTGTTAATTTGCGCCAAGTGAATCCCTTCTAAGGCTAATCAGGATCTTGAAGACTCGCAAGTGCCAAGCCTGTCCCCGATGTCGCCCCCCAGCTCAGCTTGCGCTACGCATGGGTCCAACTCTGCAGAACCCTCGGAGCTTGACTTGAATGGTAGGGTTCGTAATTAGATACTTTAACGGGTACTCGGGCCAAGACAACCGACATATCTCAGGTACACACGCCATCCCCGGCGATGGTGCAGATTATTGACCCCTCCCAGATGGAGACCCAGCTCGACTTCTGGAAGCTTGAAGAGGCCCAGCCTCGGCCTCCTGAAGAGCGACGCCAAGCCTGCAAGGATAGGTCTGCGGATTCTTGCATTATTGGAGAATTGCAGTTGTCATTAAACGAGGGTTGCCAGATAGCATTTGCAGGAGAATCGTCCTCCGGTCCACATGAAGCCTGAGGAAGCTGCAGAGCCACTTGTTGAACAGGCAGCAGCGGCAGCAAAGCAGCTAAGTAGCATGTCGGAGGGAGCAGATTTGGTGGAGGCGCAGAGGAAGGCCAGGCAACATATCATTTACGCCCAGTGCTATAGCATGTACATAGGTATCCCCAGAGTTTTTGGCGGCACAGGTTCTGGAAGCTTCGAGAACCGCAGCAGCAGCCAAGAAAGTTCAGAAGTTAGCGAAAAAAGCTGACAAAGATGTGAAGAAGTCAGGCTTGAAGGAGAAAACCCCGAAAGCCAAAGCCAAGCCAAATTGCGAGCCAGCAGCAGAGACCGATGTCGCCCCGCCAACAGCAGCAGCAGCTAGGCCTGCCCGGCTCAGCTGGGCCGAGACGGATACTAAGCTTGACAATGTGACAAGTTAGCTACACCTAATCTAGAGAGAGCTTCTGCATTGCAGCGCAGGCTTTTTGCAATCTAAATGTATGATCACAGTACTGATCAAGGAGGCCATGCTGATTGCTGCCAAGATCCCAGTCCCGAAAGGCTTTGACGGGAGCAAGCGATCGTTCACTGTGGTGCCAGAAGGTGCCCGAGGCTCTGTTGGCATCCTTTGGGGGGATAGTCAGCTGTATGTGAGCAAGAGCAATGGTGCTGGTGGTGTTGCCGTGAACAAGAAGGGCGGCAGCTCCATAGCAATTAGGAAGGCGGGCGGTTGGGAGAAGGCTTGGGCGATGGCTCTCGCCTGTGCAGGTCCAGAGCCTTGTCTAAGAATTCTAGAAGTCCTCCACAGTAGGTTGAAGTGGGCATTGTTTTAATTACATCATAAGAAACGCTTTATTGCCTCCACACCCTCAGTGCTGTTCTAGCTGGGTTTAGCGTTTATGATTATAGGGTTTAGGGTTGAACGTTTGGCTAGCGATTAGGGTTTAGAGTTTAGCTAGCAGCTGCGTTTAGGGTTCAGGGATTAGCTAATAAGCTCATTATACGCTTTGGGATTGAGGGTTCACAGGGTCTAGGGTTTAGAGTTCATGAAGCATCCAGCCTCAGCCAGGCAATGTTTGTGCAAACAGCCTGACAATAAGAACCATGCTCCACTACTACTCGTGCATTACTTGATGGATGAAGGAATTCTTTTCAGGCCTCTATGTTCACCCTGACTTAAGTACCCATACATATACACAGACATAACCCCAACAGTTTAATAAATCTAGTCAGGGGCTTGTGTAGAACTAGATCAAGACGATGGATCCGAATCAGCATCGCTACCAGGATTTGCAAAGCTATATATCCTCTGAGGGCTCGTAGGAACTCCAACCTAGATGTATTGAGGTTTGGGTCGCACGCCCAGTGTGAACCCGGTTCATAATTCATCTATGGACTAACATACCTGGCGTCTCAGGAGGTCGATGAGAAGCCCGACATGGCCCCAGCAGAGGACGGCGATCTGTAGAGGCACGCCTGCAGACAAACAACCACGCACAGGTGCATTTCCAAGCGATTGTGTAGCTGACTGTTTGTAGGTGTTGGGGCATCTCTATACAGCGGTTTCAATCGCGACTCTTTATTGACGATGCGAAATTCTTGCAAGCGATGACCATGATTGTACACATGTGGTGATGGCCACATGCTCCATGGATACTCGGCTCTGTGGCGCTGGCAGGACGACAAATATTAGCGACGCTTGCTTGTCAGCGTTGCGCCGCACCAGTGTAAGGTAAACTGTGTAAGCTGTTCGGGACTGTTTGGGACAAATTGTACACAAACCCTAGGGATCTAAGTCTACCAAATATGATGCTTAATAATTACTTTGATCCGACAGCTCTAAAATTCTGCAAGCGAGCTCCCTTGGGTGTTGTCTATTCATGTACCCTAGCAAACATTTTTCGCAAATTGTGCATATGCAGTGGCTGCAACTTCGGTTAATCGCCTCCTGTAGTATTCAGGTGGAATGTGATTGTATGCCATCATAATTTCTATTGTAGGGTCAAAACAAGCGTATCGAGATTCTCATCTACCATCGAACTTGTATAGCCATGGCCTCCTCCTCGACAAGTAGCCCGGTCCAGCCGCCCCCGATATACCTATCAGCAAAGCGTGCACAAGCGCTACTGTTGCTGGGTGCTCCCTTCGTACTGCCCCTTGCCTTACGAAATTCGTGAATGTTGGATAGATTTGCCTGGGAATTTAATATGGCCACCTATTAAATTCGAGCTAAGGCTACAGCTGTGCGACTTTGTTGCCCAGACCAATTTCCTACGACCTCCTGGGGAAGATGTATGGCGGCGAAATGTGGAGTTTTTGGTTCCAAGATGACGCGAACGTTCAGGGAAGGAGGATGCCGCTCGTGTCCTGATAGCAGCTAGGTAATGTTGACTGCTCATGATTATATATTGCATTAGAACTGAAGCCTCTGTGGCCAGGCAAAATTATGACATACTCGTTCGGCCGCAAACAAATGACATAACAACTCCGGAAGGAATGGCCACTGCAGCTCCTTGGTGCAATGCTAGTGGGTGGTTTCCCGGGAATTGTGCCCAAAATTTACATTCACATAGCAGATTCAAGAATGTGCCTTGGCCTCATGTTTGGAGTTGTTCAGATTTGCTAGACCTCAACCCCAAATATAACCTTGCTCTGTCATGGTGACTCGAAGGTGAGGGATGTCATGAGAATGAAGGAAGGCAAATCCGGTCTCATATGGGCAGGTGTGCCCTGTGGACTGTGCCTTGATTGTACTCTAGACCTGTTTCCCCATGTTGGAAAGCTATGCCTTTGCCTGCTCAGGTGGGTTTGGGTCTCACGATCAGTGCACAGACGCACGAAGCGTGACTGCAATGGTGACACGAGGCAAGCTGCAACGAGGATTGCAAATTTGATCGCTATGAGAACAGTGCTCCTGTTACTTCTAGCGGAAGTCCTCGGGATACCATGGATTGCTGCCCGACACAAGTTTAGTGTACATGTGTCATGCCAGCTTTGGATTGGAATCTTGCCCGACCCTGACCCTGAGCGTTCCCGGTAAAAGTGTTTGGGTACTGATCCGTACTCATATACATTAATATTATTTACAAATATATATACATAATAACACCCCTAACTCTAGCGATTGTAGACTAGGTAATGAGTTGGAACAGTACCCAAAAGCTAGTATTGTATTCTAGACCGTGGCTACTGTCCTGTGCTAGACTTCAGCCCCCAACGCAAGAGTCCCATTATCTGCCCGAATGTTTCTGAGGCTGAACAGCCAGGAGGAAGTTTGCTTTGCTATTTCCAGGCAGTTCAGTACCTTGCTAACAAAGCCTCCGGTGTCTTCTTCAAACGGTTCCAACTGGGTGCTTACGGCCACTGGGCTGTGAAGCCAACTTGGTCCCCTGGCTAACTCTGGAAACCAGCTAGAATTCACCCTGGGGTTTTAAGTAGGCAATTTAGTATCAATAAATAGATCCCATAGATTGCTGAACTGGATTCACCAAGTGAGGTTGATGGGCACTTCGCCAATTATCGCTAAGTTCACACGAAAGCTGAGCAAGAAGGATCGGCAAGAGCTTGTGCGCAAACAGAAGGAGAATGGCATGGATATGGTCAAGAAAAAAGTGGATGCTCATGGACGGGTACGGATCACAGGAACTCGCAACCTGAAGCTTTCGGCCAGCTATCCACAAGAATTCTGCTCCAAGACTTTGCGATTCTTCAAAGAAATCCAAGCAGATTCTGATCCTTGGCCATCATAGCATACACCATACGAAACTTCTCCTAATCATATCGAGGTAGAAATTCCCTCTAGATCTTCGAATGTGCCCAGGAGCTGACCCCAGACCCGGCTGGCCAGTTTCCGCTGACGGAAGCCGCTTTCGTGCCTTGGATCGCAGAAGGCATATCACACAGCCCCTCTCTGCTTTAAATTCATCCTACAAACCCTAAACCCTAAACCCCTTTAACCCTTCTGAACCTTAAAACCCTAGCTAAACCCTGAAAGTTTTCCGACAGCTACCAGGCTGTTCGAAAAAGGCGTGACAAAGAAACCCTGAACCCTAAACCTGCTGGCTCACCCAAAAATCCTAAACCCTATCTATAACTACCGTGCGGTTCGAAAAACGTGTGACAAAAAAAATTAACCCTAAACCCTAAACCTGGCTCACCCAAAAAAAATCCTAAACCCTCTATAGCTATACCATGCGGTTCGAAAAAGGCGTGACAAACAATTAGCCCTAAACCCTAAACCTGGCTCACCCTGATTAGATTGAAATAGATTAAGCCTAGGGATCCCAGTCTATAAACAATACCTACTTGTGTCCTAAAGTCTAGTAATACCTGGCTCTTCGGCTATTTGGATACCTATAGGGAAATAGTCTAAGGGACCAGACAGAGGCTTCGGAGGTTGAATTTCCTTCTGAGGGCAGCAAGACTTTAGTCAGGGGTGTATTTCGCAAGGTTTAGGTTGGTCAAAGATGATTATATACATGAATTGCATTTTCCAGCCCCGGCCCACAATTCTTTTTGAGTTCATGTTCCGCTTGCATTGATCTTGTCTACAATTGTAGTAGACTAGTACTTGGACCACACTATCATGAGCTTGAGGACCCAGACCCCCTCACAATGTAGAAATGTACAAGCACTCAACGACTACTTTTAAAATCTGAGCTTTGCTAGTGGTGACTGTTGTTCAGGGCGCTCCTAAAGCCAAAGCCGTGTCATCGTCCCCATTTCCCTAGGGATCCAAATAGCCCAGAACAGATATTATCTATAGACTTCAGGGTATATAGCCTTGCATCCTTAGGGAAATTTGCCCTAGGCAAACCCCCATTCTCGCTCCCGAAACTGGGGTTTGCTTTACTGCCTATTTGCTCAGACTCTTTAGAGCTTTGGGATCCAAACTTGGCTGTAGTAGTACTATAGCAGTATCAGTAGCAGAAGTAGCAGTAGTAGTAGTAATAATAATGATAATAATAGTAGTAGTATACGTAGTAGTAGTAGTAGTAGTAGTAGTAGCGTAGTAGTAGTAGTAGTAGTAGTAGTAGCAGTATATAGTAGTAGTAGTAGTAGTAGTAGTAGTATATAGTAGCAATAATAGTAGTAGCAGTAGTAGTAGTAGTAATAATAAGTACCAATAATAGTAATTGCTAATAAAATAAATAGTAAATAGTAATAGTAGTAGTAGTAGTAGTAGCAGTGGTAGTAGTAGTAGTAGTGGTAGTAGTAGTAGTAATAGTAGAGGGTGAGGAAGCGGTTGTGGAGTTTGGTGGTGGTGGTGGTGGTGGTGATGGTGGTGATGGTGGTGGTGGTGATGGTGGTGATGGTGGTGGTGGTGGTGGTGGCAGTGCTGGCGCTGAAGGCGGTGGTGGCGGTGGCGGCGGCGTTTGCTATCCCCCCCTACCAACGGAGTCTCCCAGGCCTTTTTTCGAGACTTCGCACACCGCTGGCC